TGCCAGTGATTTTGACCCTCGGCCGATGTGAGAATGCCATGCCAAGACTCTGATTCCGGGCACTTGGCATAGCTCACATGGACTGTGGCCCGAAGGATGGAAAGTTGAAGAGGCAAGGTCCCCTGCTGACCCAGATGGGGATAGAGGGCCGATTTGCCATGAGCGCCAGACACTCTATATTGGGGTTATATAGGGATAATGGAAAATAAGGTGGAAACTACTATAATATGTTACTATATTGGGGTTATATAGGGATAGTGGAAACAGTAGCCGTGTTGATTGTTGCAAGCACGACACGACAGCACGAATTGGCAGCCAAAAGAGGTTTGGTGATGGATCTGTGGTCAGCTGGGGAGAGCAGTGCTGTCCAAGAGCTAGCCACAGCAGCACTATGCACGTGATGCGCGTTCCTGGGCTGCTGCGGTCGAGGAGCACTCAGGCAGGTGTCGCTGACACAGGCTAGTGCAGAAATTGCCCGGGGCGCTGCAAAGTTTGGTGGTCGCCGAAGTATGGTTCAACCATGCATTGCTACTTCAGGTGCATTGATCCGTGGTCAAGTGGGATGACATAAAGGGTGGTGGTTGTGACAGCAGCTATGTCCGCCAACACTGTAGGAATGTGAACAGTGCTGAAGCGCCCGGGAAGTGGCACGGTGGTTCCTCCTTGGTAGTTTCTGAAAACTAGAGCCAGGGCCTTCACATGTCTTCAGCAACAATTTCCTTGACTAGGAACCTGCTGTCCCTAGATGTGCCAACAACCCATGGCCTGTCGCCACAGTACGAAAGAGAAATTCAAGCCAACATGCCTCACGAGGCCCCTTTTTGCTCTGCGTCTGACGTCCGCCTAAACCTGGGCCTGACCCTAAACCTCCAACACCCTAGTAGTTCCCTTTTATTTTCCATTATCCTTATATAACCCCTCTATAACCAAACCGTAAGCCTCAAACCCTACGCAGGGCGGTGGACCAGCGGCGCAGAACCGGTGGTGCGACTTCTGCTGCTCGGACTATGCATCGATACAAGAAACATGTTGAATATACAGGATTCTATAAAATGATATAGGGGTATTCTATATAGGGTGTATATATATCTTGGATTATATAGGGTTTAGGGTTTTGGGGGTTATGCTCCCCCAAACATTACAAAGCTACAATGGGGGGGATTCCGCGTGAGTTTGGGAAAGGCATAGAAATAGCAAGGGACTTGCGATGTTCCCAAAGAAGGCTTCTGGGCGCACGCAAAACTTGCATGTGGGCGGTTGTCAAAAATTGTGGTCCCTTTTGGGTACCCTGAATATTAGGCGTCGTAATTTATTGGGACCCAAAAAAAAGCAATGATTTTAACAATCTACCTTGGGGGCTTGGAATGTTTGGAGCAGGCAACGTGCTTTTCGTGTCGCCTTTGGGCACTATTTTGTTACATGCCATAGAGGGGTCGAGGTACAGCATGTTAAGCATTCACCATGGCTACCTCGTGAATCCAAATCTTAGATCCCAAACTGTGCTCCCTCTGGCCTGCCCGGTCACTTACAGCGAGGCGCGGATGTCCTGGAGTCTTTACAGCTCACGTGTACAAAAACACCCTTAGTCCTCAATCCTGAACCTCATTTTGAGGTGCAGTTCAGAATGGGGAAGCCGAGGGTGGAGCCACTATTCCCAGAAGTGGCGAGTTAATTGAGCCAACTGCAGAGATGTGGGCGTTCAAACAAGCACGTCCGACATTCATTTAGACGAACCCTGTGCCTGTCAGGCAGACGTAACCCCAAACCCGAAACCTGCCTGGAATCCCCAAAGGCGGTAGTTTCCCAAAACTAGAGCTCCCCCTTTTGGGAGGTTTGCAAAAACAACCAGTTGTGGTAGCCTTGGGCTTGTAATTGTAACCCCGTCCTTGGGAAATGCTCGGAACAGAAAGCATTCTTCACAGTTTACCGCCGAGTCTTGGCGGCCTGTGCCATTCACTTCCAAGAGCATTGTATGGTACAGAGATGACACAGGGCCTTTGCTGCAGGACTTTGAGCGCATCAGAGGAACAGCGTCGCTTTTGTAACCACAACTCATGAAGTACATGTCGTTAAGCCACGGCAAGTGAGGTGGATCGCAAGTTCCAGCCGCCATGGGCAGTGCCGCCCCTGTTCAGTGCATGAAGTTTCTTAAGGTCCGAGACTAGCCTGGGCAGCATCCCACAGATCTCAGTGACGTATACTTCCTGCCGTTATGCAGGGCTTATCAAATTGCAGGAGCATCTGAGGCTAGGGCTTGCTGCTTCAGGTTAGTGCCAAAGTGTGAAGCCAAGGTGTATGGCGTGTTGTTGCAAGAGTTGCTTTCAGCTATACTTGGCTATATGGTTCTAAACCCTAAACCCTAAACCGCGCTTAGCATCCCTAGCCATCAAGGGCAATATTGGATACCCCAGTCAGGCCCCAGCTCCCAGTCCACATGATTACTTCCTTGCCTTCTGTGGTGCAAGCTTCTATGGGTTTAAACTTCATTTCTAACAAGGCTGAAGCACTGTCCCAATGTCACGTCACGTCTAGCAACCCCGCCAAAGAGGCACCCCTCCTTGTGGCAACCCCCTAGACTTGCAACTGCACCTCAGAGCATGCAGTCTAAGAGCCGAATACGCAGGGTGACAGAAGCAACTTTTATTAGATATTTGCAGAAGTTGGGGTACCTGGTTTTGGGAAATACCCGCTGCGTTCCAATGTCCCACAGATGTGCTGCCAACCCTTCGGATGTTTAAGCATTTTAGCATGCTAGAACCAAATGAGCACACGATTTGAAAGAGTATCCCAGTGCGGAACCAGGACCGCCCCTCCATAGCCTGTTACAACCGCGCTTGAGGCCCCCAGGAAAATGCAGAGACGACAGTAGAACATCATGTTCTTGGAGCCTTCTCAGGCTTCGATAATGACGCCACTCTGTGGTATTGCTTCAATTGCTGGCAGGCGTTGCTAGGGTCTCTTGCAATGATGGAGTTGTTTGGGCATAGGGCTTGAGGGATTTCAGGTTTGTGGCGTACATGCCCTTGAGTCCATTGACGTCCAAAATCAGTGGCAGTGAAACAAGCCTGGCCGAACTAAATTCGGCACAGTGATGCCTGGATGGCAGTTGCCACAGTTGTGCACACTCTTTGAGCATTTTAAATAGTGTGTTGTTTTTTGTGCGGTTTCAGATCTATCCTTGAGCTGTTCGCATACATTCCAGATACAAGATCTCGTTGTGAGCGCCGTAAATTCAGCATCTATGGAGCGCTGACGGGAGGTTTGGGGGAAAGTGGAAATGACCGCTCGTAGGGGCTTGCCGTTTAGCCGGGGCTACGCCACCACGTCCGCCCTCATTTCAGAAAATCCCCTGACGGGCTTCAACATCATTTCTACCTCCCGATGCAATTCGTATCACCTACTACCGGCAACCTTCGGTTTGTCTTGCAGAGAATCCTCAAAAACCCAAACCCAAAGCTCGAAAACCCGAAGCCATAAAACCCTCACCCCCAAACCCTAACATCGCCAGACCTAAACCCTCAATATAAGCACTATATGCCCCTATATAATCCCCTAGTAGGTTCCATGTTCTTTTCCATTATCCCTATTGATGACCCCAATATACCCTAACAGAATCTCCAGTAGTGGAGAGGTGGTTCCTACAATTATGACACCGAGAGCAATCCATAAACCCAAAGCCTAAAATATTGTGGTCCCCCGGGTGTTCGTCCACTGTCAGCCAAACCTGCATTGCCCAAGCTTTTCAATCCAACCTGTTCGCCCTGAGCTTAAAGCCCAAATCATAACTAGGTACCCGACAGTACCCTTTTGCACTTTTAGTTTTGGGGTTTTCTCATTCAAGCTGAACACGTGAAAAAGGGTACCTTTGTTATTAAGTGGTTTCTGGGGGGCCTAGATATCCCCCCATGTAATAGCCCTTATAATCCCTTTCAAGGTTACTCCCTATAGCCCCTATAATGCCTCTAGAGGTGCCCCCCTTAGAATCCCTGGAATCCCTTTCAAGGTACATGGAGGCCTATGGGACTTAGTAGCTATTTATAGCTGGATTATAACATAACCCTACTTATAATTGGGGTAACCCCTGTAAGCCCATTTAGGGGTATAATAAGTAGTGTTATAAGCTCAGTTATAAGTGGTTACTAAGTCCCATGGGCCTCCAAGTACTGGACCGTAAATCCTCGGTCCGCTGGCTTAAGCCCTGAAGCATCGACCAGGCATGGTTTCAAGAGCAGAGCCAGGCGATGCACGGACAATATTTGACAAGGCAAATGAATTGTAGTCTAAACTCCTGCAAGGGGGTTATATAGGGGACTACTATAGGGGATATTAAGTTGAGGAATTTAGATTATAGCTCAAATGATTCAAAAGATCAGCAATCCCGCGGGTCTAGGGGCATTGTCGGATCGAAGGGGCAAGGGCACTAATGTTACCCATCAGGATAATACGACCACCTAGTAGTTATTTTCGACTCCAAAATCAACTTTCCGCATAATTAAGAGTTTTCCTCCGCTCTTAGATATCTGTATAGATGTGAATGAGATGTTATATCAATTAGAAGAATTCGGTATCCTTCACAGAAACAGCGCGGCCAGTGGAGGAGATTTCGCTTGCGGCTTAGCTTTTACGGCATCCAATTATCTAGTCTGCTACAGGCTCAACTAGGGGTTCCAGATCTCTACAAATCCTTCGAGAGATTTAGAGACTAGAGAATTTTTGAACTTTTTAGACCTTCACAATCGAATAGATATTCGTGAATTTTTTCGCGCGTTTCGACGATTACTTCCCGGGAATAATCATATTAAAATCCCACAGGACGGGAAACATTCAAACTCGCAGGCATGCTGGATTCAAATTTGATAGATTAAATTTCTAACTAATCATCCTAAGATTGGAAAGTATAGGACTACGATTCAATGTTATTTTTTTTCTAAATACCTCAATAATACGGCGCGGTTACTTGCGGCCATTTCGCTCGCGCGCGGCCTAGCTTTTCCGGCTCACTTTTAAAACGCCTCCTGCGGGCTCCCTAGGAGCTCTAAAGCTCTAAAATCTGGGAGATTTTAGAGCCCTTCGGAAAAGCTAGAAGCTCTAAAATCTCCGAGATTTTTGGTGCGGGCGGCGCGGCCCAAAATCTCGGAGGGTTTTGGTCCGCGGGCGCCTCCGCGTGATTTATCTCTATTTGGTTATTTGCGCGGCTATTCGGCAGAACGATGGCAGAGCGTATAGACCCGAAACGGAAAAATTAAGATTTCAGAATTTATATAGAGGAGTCGCATTTATGTACGGGCATTTATACGCTCTCCCAAACCTCCGCATAGATATTCTAAAAGAGATAAATGAGGTCAATTATGAATGAGAAATTCTTCAAATATTAATTTATTCTATTCGAAATAAATCACATCTTTTTCTGCAGAATTGATTTATTTTCATTTATATATTTTAATATTTGAATTAAGCCGCTGCTTATAATAATGAAATATCTATTTCAACATACGAATAATAGAATATCTACTGATACATGATTTCTAAAATCGCATGCGAAATGATATAAGAATAATATATAAGATCGCACGTGATAAGGACGATTAATCTATAGGTTCTGAAATTTTAGATCTCCGCCCAAGATTGATAAAGAGAGAAATGATTCGAAATCTCGAGAAAATTTAGGTCGCGCGGCCTTCGCAGCCGGCCCGATTTTTCCGCCTCATTTACTTCTTGGGGTATCAGCTTACGTGCGCGGCTCGGGGAAATACAAAAATTTCCGTAGACCTAGACGACCAGAAATTCTGAAAAATCTTATTTCTCTGTCCTAGGTCTATGATTCCGCGTAATAGCCGTGCAGATAGCTAACAAGAGATAAATCAATAATCAAAAAAAATTCTCTTTTCATAATGAAAAACCGATCAACCTATAGCTTCTGAAAGATTTTGGATCTCCGCCCCGGGTCTTCACGCCGAGCCGTTACGCAGACAGCCAAAGAGAGAGAAATAATTGTCGTGCGGCCTCCGCATCCAATCCGGTCTTCTGAGGAATATATTCTTATAATATCTGAGGAATTGAATTGAATTTTAATCTTCATTTGATTAAGAAAAAATGAAAACTATTTAAGCAAATTATATAATTCTATATAAATTTCTCGGAGAATTATATATATATAAGATTAGAGACGAAGATATATATTATATTTATTTAGGAATTGATATTTGGCAAGGAGGAAAATAAGATATATCTTTTTTTTTAATGAGATTTAGATTATATATATATATTTTTTTCTCGCCGCGTTAGGAGGAATAGAATCGTAGAGATAAATGAATGATAGGAAGGGAAGAGACGCCTAAAATCAAGATAGATATTTATATTGGATTTATTTTTTTCTTGATATATTCTCGATGATAGGAGAATATCTAAATTATAAAATGACTAAAATCGGAGATTCATTAGTTTCAAAATTGAAATTCTCGAATCGTATTAGCTTCTTTCTTCGGATTCAAAGGGCATATTAAATATCAATTCATTTTCATCCTCTAGGAATCTATCTAGATCAAATTCGTATCCGCCATTTGGAAGACACGTATATAGATGATAGAAAATAAAGCAATCTCGTGCATAATCGTAATAGAAGAAAAGACGTATGATATCAGGTCTCCAGGTCATATATTAAAGCCCGCCGAGGGCCGCCGCCGCCCGCCGAACGTCCAGGGATCCAGCATCTCGCGGAAATAAAGATAAAAATCGTTGGATTCTCTCATATAATATTTATAAGAATCTCTTTGTCGGGACGCAATCATTCATCAATTATTATATGAATAATCTATCTCCCAAAATCTCTTCAATTTCAATAGAATATCTTAAAAAACGAAATATCGATAATATCAATAATTATCCGAAAGAATTTATGATAAGAATTACGATTATAATGAAATCGTTAATTAATCATATTAGGATTAAATTTAAGATTCAATTTATTGATTCTAATATAGACCGAATTATTGATATCTTTATAAATCGACGGATATAATCATAAATATAGATTCTTATCTTATCTCTAATAATTCAAAAATTGATCTTCATAGAGAAGATATAGTTTTCACGCTCAAGGAATTAAAAATCTAGATATATTACTTCTATCGATATTTGAGATTTTTTAGAAAAGAAGATCTTTAGTAAATATCAATAGAGATCTAATTATATTCTAAATTCTCAAAGAATATTATCATATAAATATGAAATCAATAGATATTATTTGATATTTCGTGAAATATATAGATTTACTAGAGATTTGCCAGAAAGATAATTAAAAATCTTTGAAACATTCGAATTTATTCCAGAAAATAATTGAAAGAATAACGTAATTTTCAAATGAAATATATTATCAATTTAGAAGATCTCTATATATATATATATCTTCGTATCATGAATTGAAGAGATATTCTAATCTAGATATACTCGAATCTACTCCTATTGATAAATAATATTAGAATTGACCCGCTGCCTATAGCAATACAAAATATTTATTTGAGAAAATCTATCATAGAAAATCTATTGACCAAATAATTTATAAATTCGTACGTGAAATCCGATGAATTATCAAGATTTTAAGATCGCATATATTATATAAATTCTGAAAGATTTTAAATCTCCTTCCCGATCCTTCACGTTCCGCCGATCCGCGCAGGCAACCAAATAGAGAGAAATAACTCGAATTCTGGGGGAGATTTTTGGTTACGCGGTCCTTTGATCGTGCGGTCACCGTATCGTTCTTGCCGCCTCATTTATCTCTCTTGGGCTATCTGCGCGGGGACTGGGAGATCATATAAATCTCCGTGCATAGATACGATCAATCTATAAATTCTAAAAGATTTTGGTTCTCCATCTCGGGTCTATACGCTCCTCCGACCAGCCGCGCAAGTAACCAAATATCGATAAATCACACGGAATATATT